TAGACTTCTGACCTTGAACTTGATCCTCAGAAGTTCTCACTGACGTCAATACTTGTGGTGATTAAATCTTTAGTCTCTGATTCCTCAGTTGCAAAATGGGGGTGAGAGCATTTACTAGTCTACCAGGAGGGTGCTGAGAGGCTAAATTAATGAAAGCTTGTAAAGCACTTTGGAATCCTCGTATGAAGGATGGTGAAATGCAAAATATCTGTACAGGCTTGGATCCAACATAAGAAAGATCACCAGCCACCCCTTTGCTAGTCATCTAAAGATGCTGAATTCATCTAAGTAGTTAGCCCGTTGAATATAAACCCATGTGCTGCAGGTTTGGGGAGGCGGGTGCAACAGAACCACCTCAGTGTAGCTGAGCCACATGGGAAAGTAAGGATGTTAAACTGCAGAGATCTGGCTAATCGTGCAGTAGGTACAATTTGTATCGACTACATGATTAGTCGATAAAGGGCCATTCTACAGAGCCGTAGCTGGGAGCTGGCTTGAGCTGGAACTTCACAGTCCTGGCTCATGCTGGCTCTGGGAGCCACCTGCGCTGCAGCGCTGCATTTTAAATGTAGTAAGAGCCCATCGGCTTTTACTACATTTAAAACGCAGAGGTGCAGCATCCCGGACCAGCGCAAGCTGGGACTGCTCGGTCAAGTCCAGCAGCCCCTGTTCATAGTGGCCAGGGCTGGCCGTGGCTAGAGGCTGCCACAGAGACGGTGCTGGGAGGAACCAGCTTTTAAGCCGGCTCCCCCCAGCACTGGTTCCTGATCCCCCCACTTTGCTGCCTCTGCAGCAAGGGCAGGAGGGAAGTGAGTAGTCGACTACTCCACTCAACTACCCAAAAAGCTTATTGGGTAGTTGAGTAGTCGACTACTTGCTAACATTCCTATGGGAAAAAATACTTCTCATCTATGCCCAATTACAAATGGTTTATTTTGATACTATCCTGTGAAAGTAGGGGAATGGGCCCATGATGATTTTCCTGGCTTCTATACTACCCCACTGCAATCTCCACCCCAACTCCCTTTACCCAGATGCCCGCCTGACCTTGAGGACTCCACTTTCTCTATTCTATGCAGCAGAGTCCTTTTAATCCCAACAAGGTTTGACCTAGGATTCCTGGGGGGCTTAACCCCCAATTTCATCATGGGTCATTCAGGACGGGGCCTAGGGTAGCTCCACTCTGGGGTTCTCTATCCCCTCTGGCCACTTCTGTGCCCAGTGATTGAATTTTAACCACATACAATTTATTGACTAGGTTCTGTCATGTGGCTGAGTTGGAGTGCTGGCTTCTCCGCACTCGCTTGCTCTGGGGACCTGTCAGTCCCAGGAGTCTGACACCCCTTCAGCCTTTCCCCTTTCTCCTGATACTGAGAGAGGGCCAACTAAAAAAAGCTTTAAGTTTCAGTAAGGGGCCAAGAGCCCACTTACACAAAGGTCAAGTTACAAAGGCTGTAGGGAGGAGTTAAGGGAAGGGAATGCCCAGGGAAAGGAATACAAAAGCTTTGTGGGACCACTACAAAGGGCTCCAGGGAAATCACACATGGGCATTCTTGCAAACATACTTTAGAGAACATGTAATGTTGGCATCATGCCAGGAGACAGAGTTTATTAGGGGAAAGTTTTCAGATGCCCTGCAATGTTAATGGAACAGTAGGGGGGCTGGTACAATCTGGATGGTGGGCGTGTATACAATGGAAATCATTTCAACCCCAGGGGGTGCAGCACCTACGGAGCAACTCCAGTTACAAGCCAGAAGCCAGCAAGCAGTGCAAAATAAAACGCAGCCAGCTGCTGGGGCTAGTGTGGGACACAGAGAGCTGCCATCTCCTTCTAGTTAATGTCTACACCAGGGAAGGTATCTGAGCCACCTATAGTTGGACTGAGAAGTAGACTTTAAAAAGGGATTCAGCGTTTCCCTGGTGACTGCAGAGTCCATGCTGTAGGGATATCACCTGATCCTGAATGGTGCTGAGTCCCGAGATAGAGAGAGATGACTGCCCTCAGATTGTAATAGTTTCAATCAGACTGCACAGAGGAGAGCTTCAATATTAGGCCCTAAACTTACAAAGCTAAAATCATTTTCCTGTGCCCTGAGCCATATCTGAGCCCAGGCATTGAAGGACCTGCCTCCAATCCTATTAGATTTCACAGCGAAAAATCCCATCACTTTTCTAGCAGAGCCAGCGGGGATCTATTTCTTTTCCCCCAGATAGCGCTAGAAGATGGAATTTAGAGGGATGTATATTTTAAACTGCCACAGATACCTGTGGGTGAGGTAATATCCTTTACTGGACCAACTTCTGTTGGTGAGAGAGGAACGCTTTTGAACCAAACAAAGCTCTTATTCCGGTCTAGGAAAGGTGTCACTGTTAAATGGCAGCAGGAGGAGACTGTTCGGCATAAGTAATTAGGACATATTTTAAGAGAGCATTCAAGGTAGAGTGTCCTGTGAACAACTCTGCAGTCATAGGACAAAAAGAGGGGGTCGGTGAGTTACAGATTGTAGTAATGAGCCATAAATCCAGTATTTATCTGTTCAGTTCATGACTTCTGGCGTTGTGAATTTAAGCTCCTGGGCTCGACTGCTTTCTGCCAAGTTATTCACCCAGCTCACAGGTATTGAGGTTTTTTGTCTTGTATTGTTTTCTGTGTCTATACTCAAGAGCATAGTGATCGTCTGGTTTCACCCACATAGTTGTTACTGGGGCATTTAATGCAGTGGATGAGTGCACACGTGCTTGGATAGACCCACAGATCATGAAAGGTGTGTTGTGGAGGGTGCTGATTGTTATAGCAGTGGAGATGTCTTCAGATTTTGCATCTGTGGTTCTGGCAGGGTCTGATGTGCTTTGAGTTGGTGAGTCTTGGTCTGTGGGGAGCTTGCTTATGATGAGGAACGTGGAGAGGCTGGGGAGTTGGGTGAAGACCAGACATGGGGTACAGGAAAGTACTTGGAGGACAAGGTCCCCGTCAAGTATGGGTTGCATTTGTTTGATGATACTCCATATGGGTTTCAGTGTGGGGTGCCAGATGATAGGGTGGGGTATGCTATTACAGGGGGGATTATTGCTATATTGAAGCAAGTTATCTGAGGGTACTTGGTGGCCTGTTCCATGATGTGCTGTACTTCTCCAGACCCTGTTTGGTGAAAGTGGTTTTAAGTATGTATATCACAGACTTTCTTTTGGACCATTCTCTATGGTATTGGGGTGTCCGGATCCAAATAACAAATTCTAGGTTTTTTGGGGGGTGGTTACTGGATCTATGAAGGTCCGTGTAGTGATCCATGAGTTCCTAGTATATTACTTTCTGCAGGGTTCTATTATTAAAGCTGATTGCAGTGTCCAGGAAGTTGATACTCATCTGAGAATGTTCCAGAGAGAGTTTAATGGAGGAATGGTGAGTGATGAAGCTGTGGTGGAAATCGGTGAGAGTATTTAAGCTGTCTGTCCAGAGGATGAAAATATCATCAATGTATCTTAGGTCTATCATTGGTTTCATGGGGCATGTGTCCAGCTGGCCCCTTAAGAGCCTGGCATGTTGGGGAGCCATCCAAATACCCCTGGCTGTTCTCATGGTTTGGACAAAGCATCTGTTGCAGTTATAGGTGAGTATGAAATGGATGAGTTTGGCCATGTGTTTGGGGTGGATAGCTGAGGGTTCTATATTGCCCTGCAGCTATTTGAAGCAGGCCGCTATGCTGTCACTATGAGGGATGTTGCTGTTTTGGAATGGGACATCCATGGCTGGTGTTCTGACGGAGGCTGTTAATTTTGCTGAGTAAGTGGGAGGAAGTCATTTGTGTCCTGGAGGTCCAATGAAATATATCATTTCACCCAACTTTTCTCTCTAGGTACCCATAGACATTTAGAAAAAGAGCTGGCATCCTAAGTGTTAAATATTTTTCAAGACAAGGAAATCACTTTGATTAAATAACCAATACAAATAAGACATCGGTGACCTTTTGAAACTTCTCCAGCTTCCTCACAGCACATTGATCAAGTAGAAAGTGTGTCAAGAACCCTACTTTAAACAGCATGAATGTCATGTAGCAAATGACATGACCAGTTGTCACCTAAGGGAGAAACTGCTTGAGGACATATGTAACAAAATAGATGTAACCACTCGCTAGACTATAAACAGACCCACCTTTTAAAAATTCTTACTGCCCTTCCCATACTTAGAGAAAGCAACGTGGTTCAGGAGTTAGACCATTAAGACATGTAAGTTCTGTTCCTGTCTCTGACTCTTTATTTGTTGTTTGATCCAGGGCAAGTCACTTACCCTCTCTGACATACTTCTCCAGTGTGAAAAATAGGGACAAACAATTTTAAAGTGCAGCCATAGTAAGTCAAGTCTAAATGTAAAAACAATTGTTCTGCAACAATTGCTCCATTTATATATCCAAGGGCAAAATTCGTTACCTTAAGCAAGGAGTCTCAATTTTACTGCTTTTTGCTCCAGTTATCACTACTGATAGTTCAGCTAGCTCTGCCGTTGCTACAATGCAGCTCAGAGACAACAAGCTGGAGCCTATCCTGGCTTGCTATGTCAATAAATCTCCATTCCTCACAAAAACAACAGTGAACTAAGCTTCAACTGTAGACACTTTCGTTTCACTAGAGATGAGCAGCCAGAAACAGCCCAGCATGACTTTCAGCTCCCAAGCAAAGTTATTCCAATGATGGGCACTGTAGAAAAACTTGAAAGAGATTGTCAAGCAAGTGTCTTTTTTTTCTTGCAAAAGGAGCACATTCTATGGTGGAAGCCACTGGGAAGAAATGAACACAGAACCCCATGGAACTATCTAAAGGAGTCACTCATCAGGCAGACCTATGCTTTAACCAACCAGGTTTACAGAGCTGTTCTGAGAATTTATCACCTGTGAAGTGGTTTGAGATGTATGTGGGAAAAATACTTTGCATTGATATTGCTTTACCCTTAACTGAAAACATACATTACTTTTGAAGAGCAGATGCTTGCCTTAAATGCCTTACCTTGCTATCTAGCTTCTTCATTGTTACCAGATCCAAGGATTTGAGCGAGTGCCCAGTTGGAGTGATGAAGTAAAGGCAGACGTGGATTCTTGTGTCATGATAATTAAAGAGAGATCGACGAATTTTCAGCTCTTCTTGCAAGTAGTTTTCAAACTGCGTATCAATGTAATCAACTACTGGCCTGTAACTAAAAACAGTGCCATTAGCAACCAGAATGCTGAAGTTTAAACGAAGTTGCCAATTAAAAATTATTATGTATTCTCTCAGGCCTATTCATTAAAAATAATTTACAAAGAGGCATAAACAATTTTAGCCCTCCATTGGCAACATGCAGAATGTTACGTTCACACATGCAATTTCTAATCAAAACGAGTATAGTATTTTCAGAGGCTGTGTGACAGAACAAAAGTGTTAATGCTGATGAGACTGAAATATGGAAAACAGACTATTTCCATACATCAAGTTTTGACCAGATTTCTGGTGTAAAGTATCTCGATGCAGTAGCATAGTAATATGAACCCAGGAGTCCTAAAGATCCTTTACCACTGGATAGACATGGCAGATAATTACTTTGAAGAAGGCCAACTGAAATTATTGCAAGACATGTTACAGGGACTCAAACTCACAGACTTTAACTGATCATCTAATTATTTTATTTAATAAAAGTGATTTCCTTGTCATTTGATCTAAAGATGTTAAGAGCCGGGTAATTTGCTATTTGTGTAGTCAATAGAATTTTTATCGACTACACGATTAGTCAATAAGGGAAGAATCGCACAGTCCTGGCTAGCGCTGGGTCCAGGAGCTACCCTTGCTGCGGGTCTGCAGTTTAAATGTAGTAAAAGCAAGGTGGGCGGGCAGCCCAACTCTTACTACATTTAAACCGCAGAGCCACAGCAGGGGTATGTCCTGGACCCAGCACAAGCCAGGACTGATCTGGCTTCCCCCGTGATGCCGGGCGGAAGATGCCACGCAGGAGCTGTATCAGGCAGCAAGGGTGGGGAGGGAATGCACGTAGTCAACTGGACTAGCAGATAAGCCTAGGCTTACCAGTTAGTCAACTATTCATTTACATCCCTAACTTGATTCAAACAATTTAATTGCACAGGCAATTAAATGGGTGTGGGTAGGTAGGTGGAACCACTATCACAAACTGATCACTGTCAGAATGGACAATTCCAATTATTCCACAGATAGTTTGTTTTTTTAAACTAGATTTATAAGAGTTTACAGGTTAGTTAGCCAAACCCTCTGAAAGGCAAGAGACTATTATTCCCCGAACTAAACCTAAGACATGCTGAGCATCTGCAATTCCCATTCACTTCAGAAGGAGCTGCAGATGGTCAGCATCTCTCAGGATTTACCCAGTGAATTTTTGAGCCAGTTAAACAGATTGTTGATGCAAGTCACAGCTCAGTATGTTCCCCTGTCACCCAGCACCTTTCTGACTCACAGTATGAGCTCACTTGCCCGGGTAATACGTTTTGGATGGCTGGAATGATAACACAACACACTCCTCACCTTCACTAACGACAGGATGGATTCTGCACACAACAGAACTCACTGCAGAGTAGGAAACTACTCAGCCTGAGTAAGGGCGGCAGAATCTGGCCCAATGCTTTGGAAGAAGTCGTCGTTCATGGCTTCTGCAACAAGCCTGGGGGAAGGATTGCTCCTCAGCAGGTCTCCTAAGAGAGCCACGCTGATAGCAGAGAGTGGGCCTGTTGGGGTGTCTCGCACTGAATAAGCAGGTCAGTAGAATTACACAGGATTCTTTAAGGCAACCTACAATATGTTACAGATTTCACTGCCTCACTAACCTTGCCCTCTCTCCTTGCCTCCTTACCCGAACTCCCTCTAGCCTTCCCCATATTTATTGCAGTGGCTCATTCCTGCACTCTTCAGTTAATAATAGACAAAACACAAATCTAGATTTGTGGACATAATCAGTACTCCTCAAAACTGGGGATGCCCAGTAATAGAAGCTCAGTCTGCGACACTGCAGGGAGAATCATACAACGCTACATGGTACAGCACTAGAGGCTGGTGCAGAAATGGCACATAACCTGCCTTTCGTCTTTATTTATCTGGTCTCCAAACCCCACTGCATCCACAATTGTCAGTTTCAGGTGCACGTTGCTTTCCTGAAGGTCATAGGTACGTGGTCGTAAGCGAACTGCATTCTCGTAGTGACTGGCCTCCTCCGTCTCAAAGGTGGTATTGAAAAGTGTGTTCATTAGTGTGGATTTCCCGATGCCTGTTTCACCTAGGAAGGAAGAGTCACCAGTTCATTGCAGAGTGGAATTTGTAAAGGGACTTCAGAGTGAATTAATTACAGAGAAGAACAAAAATTAAACCGTGAGAAGTTACAGCAACTCCCCCAGGTTCAGAGAGGGATAATCATTGTGATGTTCCTATAAGGGAAGTGAAGGACTAGTCGACTATCTGATAAGCAAATACTTATCGGATAATCGACACCTAGTTGACTAGTCGCTTCCTTCTCCTGCCCCTTGATGCTTCTATCAGAAAGAGGCAGCAAGAGGTGAGGGAGGGGAAAGAAGGGCTGCTTCAAAGCAGAAGTGCTGCGTGGAGCCTAGGGCCACACCCCAGGCTCCCCATGGTGCTGCTGCTTTGAAATGCCGCGTGGATTCTGAAGCTGGGCTCCTCGTGGTGTTTCAAAGTGGCAGTACTGCATAGAGCCTAGGGTCAGTGCAGGGGGAGACTCCTCCGCTGACCCCGGGCCCCAGGCTCCCTGAAGTGCTTTCACCTTTGAAGCAACCCTGGGGCTGCTGCTACTCTTCAAAGGCAGAAGCACTCTTATCAACTAATTGAATTTTCTATGCAAATTGCATCAACTATTTGATTAGCTAATTAATAAAAATTTTACAGTCCTAGTTCCTACTGCCCTTAACAACCAAGTAAAAGAAGCAGTGAAAATTAAAAAGCAGAAGTTAAATCTTAGCAAGGAAAATAGAAGAAGCATAAACTCTTGCAAATAAAGTGTAAACAAATACAATTACGAAGGCCAAAAAAGAATCTGAAGAACAGCTAACCAAAAACTCAAACAATAATATCAACATGGTTTTAAGTACATCAGAAGCAGGAAGCCTGCTAAACAAACTGTGGAGCCACTGGACAATCGAGATGCTAAAAGAGCACTCAAAGATGATACCATCATTGCAGAGAAACGATTTAATTCTTTGCGTTGGTCTTCATGGCTGAGGACATAAGCGAGATTCCCAAACCTGAGCCATTCTTTTTAGGTGACAAATCTGAGGAAGTGTCCCAGACTGAGATCTCATTAGAGGTTTTAGAACAAACTGATAAACTAAACAGTAATAAATCACCAGGACCAGATGACATTCACCCAAGAGTCCTGAGGGAACTCAAATGTGAAACTGCAGAACTACTAACTGTGGTTTATAAACAATCCTTTAAATCAGCTTCTGTACCAAATGACTGGAAGATAGATAATGTGATACCAATTTTTAAAAAGGGCTATAGAGGCAATCCTGGCATTTACAAGCTCATAAGTCTAACTTCAGTACAAGGCAAACAGGTTGAAATTATAGTGAAGAATTGTCAAACACAAAGACGAGCATAATTTGTTGGGGAAGAGTGAACATGCTTTTTGTAAAGGGAATCATGCCTCCCCAACCTATTAGAATTCTTTGGGTATGTCTACACTACAGCGCTAATTCGAACTAACTTAGTTTGAATTAGTTAATTCGAACTAAGTTAATTCGAACTAACGCATCCAGACTAAAAAACTAGTTCGAATTAGCGTTTTGCTAATTCGAACTAGCATGTCCACACAGAGTGGACCCTAAACCGGGGTTAAGGATGGCCGGAAGCAGTGCCGGCAGGGCATCAGATGAGGACTTAGAGCGTGGAGCTGCTGTCTCAGGCTAGCCGAGGGCTGTGCTTAAAGGGACCCTACCCCCACACCGGACAGACAGTTCTCAGGGGTGCCCTGCTTGCAAAGCAGTCCTGGGCACATCACAGCACTCGGCCATCAGACCATCTGCACTTGCCGCAGGCTGCCATCTGGGGAGAGGGGACAATTGGGGGGGGGCTGCAGGAGAGCTTCCACCCCCAGAAGCCCGCAGAGCCAGCCCAGTCCTCCCCATCGGGGGCGCATACCCCATTCCTCCCTCACCTCCACTTACCCTTCCCTAGCCCCTCTCCTTGATGTACAAAATAAAGGACAATTGTGTTCAAAAATAGAATCTCTCTTTATTGAACAAAACTGGGGGAGACTGGGAAAAGGAGGTGGGAGAGGGGAAGAGAGAGGCTGGGAGAGGGGAGGGCAACTACAATGATCAGGGGTTGGGAACAGGTCCCATATGAAGAGAGGCTAAAGAGACTGGGACTTTTCAGCTTAGAAAAGAGGAGAC